AGCCTACTTATTGGCGCTGGGCAATTTGTTATCCTCGTCTCGCGCGCATTGTTCCGATTGTTCGCTCAGCTGGAGCCTGGCTGCGAAATTGGCTTCAATTATGCGCCGCATTATGAAATTATGAAAGTAAGTAGCTGCTTTTGCTGATGCTTTTGCTGATGCCTCAGTTGCAGCTGCAGCTGCAGATGCTTTCGCTTTGGCCAAATGTAATTGCCGCAATTTGTTGCAGTTGCAGTTGCAGTCGCTAATAACGTTTATTAAAACCATAACAACACCCCAGCCCCAGCCCGCTTGAGGGCCATTAACAATATGCCAGGCATGGCTGAATGTTGCATGCGGCATATGGCATGTGGCATGTTGCATATGTGTTACGTTGGCAAATTATGCAAATCCTTGTGAAGCACATTAATGACAATTAATCGCTGCAAATTAAACTGATGACAATGCGCCAGATATGCCACAAAGATTTATGCTACCCCTCCTCTCTCTCTCTCTCTCTCTCTTTCTGTCTCGCCCCTCTACGCCCTTTTATGCATAATTAACTGGTAATTTATGAGCTAAGCTATCTCAGCCGGATAGTTGATAAAGTGCTCGCCATTCAAGCGTCCCAAGTCGCGCTCCTCCTGCGCCTGCCGCCGCTCCTCGTGCCGTCCATCCAGGCCTACGCCTATGCGCTCGATAAATTTCGCAGAGCGATATCCATTTTTCTAGAAAAAAAAAACAAAACAACATTCCATTAGATACTCTACATGGCTGGTGTAGCGACTCGCACCTCGTAGTAAATGGAACGCGCCTTTTTGGCCGCCTCCGGGTCAAAGTTCCAATCGGTGCGCACGTGGGTTATGGGCTCGCCGGCGACATTGTTCTGCAGCGTCTCGCTGATGAGACGCAGAATGAATCCATCAGCCGGCTGGCTGTACAACAGCAGCAGGGTGCACTGCAAGCGAAAGAGTATTAGTATAAGGAGTATCAAGAGAAAGAGTATGCTCTTTCTAATCCCACATCAATCAAAGCTGATTGAATGGATTGATGCATGATTTGAGCTTTAAATCAAATCAAACTGTATTTCGATATCAATTCTTATCGATATCATCGAAGCGGCGCAAGTTATCGATAACTGGAATCAAAACTAATCTGCGCGATAAATAGAAGAAGCTACGCTTAAAATTTCAGTGTTGCCCATTTGCTTTAAGTTCGAGGCTTAAAAACAAAGTCTTCTTCGAACTCTGTTACTGCACTTGAAAAAGGTTAATCGAGGTGTGACTGTTTTCATTTTTTATGACCTGCTAAGTCCAGTAAACACTACTCAAGGCACTTGAAACTTTTTTTTGAATATCGCGCCACATTATTTATCCCAGTCTAGCGTTAACTTTCGTTTTCAAGGGCTTGAGTCATGGCTTGAATATTTTGCACAAATGCGACTTGTCTTACACATTAATTTCGGCTCTCTCACTTACCGCAAACGAAAACACAAACAAAAATCTCATTTGCAACATTTTCTGTGGCTTTTGGCGTTTATTTGGTTTATTTTTGATTTCTTGAAGCGCGGCCCGTGCGAGTCACTGGACCATTGATCACTAAAACCGAAACCGAAACCGAAGCCGAAACCGAAGCCGAGAAATCGCGCAGTTGCATAAAACGCAGCCAAGCGCCAACGCAAATATCGCACGAATAACAAGAAATAAAGAAGAAATATCGAAAAAGATACGAAACGAAATACTCGTACATCTTGTTTGGCAAACAAAACAAACGCCGAGAAGTTGCACCGTTATGCGGATGGCAGACAGGGTTGCCAGCTTGGCTACTTTCTGGCTAAATTGTGCTGCTTCAAAATTGATGCTCTTAACAGATTTGACTATGTTAAGTTATGTTATGTTAAGTGATATTATGTTAAGTTACTAATTGCCCATGTTTAGTTTTCGGCTGAAAATGCCATGTTACCATATGCCTGCAAGCTAATTCAGCTATTTCTAGCTATTTTTAACATAGCTCTTAGCTACAGCTGGCAACACTGTTAACTAACAGTTAAGTACTGAGAGCGACAACGCAAGAGTGAGAGCGAGAGCGCGCTTAAATAAATATTCAATAAAGCACAACAAAAGCAACAACAACAACAAATTGAGTTTGGTAAGAAAAGCATATTTAAGCTTTGTTTATCTATGGCCCAATTTATGAATGCAAAGACAATATAACAAATTAGATAAGTCCGCATAATTGGAGCTGCATTGAACCCTGGCTTTGAGCGCGACCTTCAGTTTAAAACTTTAAGTACTCTACAGCAATTATTGTCGCGCATTTATGTGCCTTTTTAATGGCACATTTTAATGGCAGACCAAATTTGTGTTTACGGCAGACGGAACTAAATTGTGGCCAAAGGTTAGTGGCACCTGGCTTAAAAGAAAAACAAATAAAAGACAGTATGAATACGCGTTGCTGTCAAAGAAAGTGCGCCAGACTTCCATAGAGGAAAGAAACTAAAAACAAACAAACAAAAAATAGCACAAGATACAAAGAAAGACAAGACACAAACTGGTTGAACGCATTATCATTGCAGAAGTTACATAATGGCTTCGTCATCATCATCATCATCATCATCATCAAGATCATCATGCAGAGACAGCAAACCAGAAAGAGCCAAAGACAACACTTTAGTAATTTGGCCTCAATTCCGTTACAGCTTTTTGCACTGCACTTTAACAGCTGTGCGACGCCGCTCTCCCAGACTCTCTCTCCCTCGCTCTCGCTCTGGCTCTCTCGCAAAAGCTACGTGCCTGGCTTCACGTCAGCGAATTGAGCTATTAGTTGCGCTTGCCGCTAGAAATGCAGTCAAAAGCTTTTATTAAACTTCCGTCTGTTGTTGCTGCCTTCAAGGAAGCGCCTTAACAGCTGCTTAAGCCCGTGTTATTTAACAGTGTCAGAACTTTCACTTTCATTGAGCGCTGTTAAGAGCGCACGTATTAGATCAGAAGAAGATTTCAAGCAGACTTTGGTTGAGCTTTTATTGGCGCGCAGCTTTTAAGCTTTCGAGCGGACGCTCTGCAACACTCGCTGGCTTCAGACTGGAGTTCAGTTACCAAACAAAACGCGCGCGGTTAACAACACAGGTTTGCGCGTTGCGGCAACAAATTACCGTTAGCGTGAAAAACGTGCCCAGCCAATCAGTTGTTTTGGATATTCACAAAATTTGTGGCGATGGCAAATTTAAATACACTGCTGCTGCCAGTAAGTCTTGAGAGAGCGCGCGTCGTGCATTTCACTTGTCGCTGTTGTTGACCCCATCAATTAACATGGCCAAAGCAATAGTCGCGCTCTGACACAATTTCCGTGTGCCGCCTGCGCGAAAGTCGCACCAAAAAGAAAAGTGCCTGCACGAAAATGTGGCTGGAATTCACAATGAGCATTGATGTTGTTGTTGCTTTGCACTCATTGGTCAGCGCAGCGACACATTTTGAATTGATGTCGCGCCAATGTGATTTGTAATCAGCGCACGACCCTCGCCAGCGAGAGAGAGCGAGAGAGAGAGAGAGAAAGACCTTGAAATGTGCCCATTGCCCAATTCTGCAAACGATCGTTGCGGCTTTTCCGCTCTCTTTCGCTCTCTCTCTCTCTTTCTTGTAGGTTGACCAATTGAAGAGCTTACAAAATGTGTCATAATCTCAAAGCTGCGCTCAGGTTGGCCACTTGTTGTTGCTGTTGTCGCTTTGCATTGCATAATCGTGGCCAATAACCGTTTTTAACTCATGCAAAAGTTGGGCCAAATTACATGTGCATTTATTACAGCTTTTATGTGCCTGACACACTGAACTAATGAGCCGGCTTTACTTAACAATAATTGCAAAACAAAAACTGATTATCTTGCCTTTTCAGCTCATTTTACTAATTGTTGCATTTGTCGCGCACACATCCTACGCTACGGTGCAGCCGCGTGCGCCCAACTTCCAGTACTTTGAACGGTAAGCAATGGCACTCAACACTAATGAAAATCTTATTTATAAACAAATTCTTTGAAATAGGCCCAAATATCGTTATCCGTACTATGATGAGAATGGCAGGGGAAAATTGCTGTATGGCTATGGCGGACCGGATTTATACCAATACAAAACCTATACACCTCTGGAGGGCATACATTAAGCAGCTTTAAATATACATTAACAACTATTTGTTTTAATTCTTAATGAATTGTACTAATTAATTTATAAAAACCTAAACTAAACGCATTTTAAAATAAAACAATTTGCGCGCCAAAGTGGCAGCATTGAAAACTAGATGGCGATGCTTTGCCGTGTTGCTTTAAACGCATTTCAAAATGAAACAATGTGCGCGCCAAGGTGCGAGCATTGAAAACTAGATGGCGATGCACTGCTTTAAACGCATTTCAAAATGAAACAATGTGCGCGCCAAAGTGGATGCATTGAAAACTAGATGGCGATGCACTGCCTTAAACGCATTTCAAAATGAAACAATGTGCGCGCCAAAGTGGCAGCATTGAAAACCAGACGGCGCTGCTTTGCCGTGTTGCTTAAATAGGCGAATGGCACAGTTGAGCTGTGAATGGCACATTTCCAAAGCCAGCGACAAAGAGAAGGCATTTCTTAAATATTATTAACTTGAATTAAAAGGACGTATTAATTGTTTGTAAATATAGATAAAATGTCACGCAAGGAGGCACTGTCACAGTTCATTAATCAAATACACGGCCGACCCGTGGCCGTAAAGCTAAACAACGGCGTGGACTACAGAGGTGGGCAACCCAAATTGTTTGCCGGCAGCTGGAAAAACATATTTCTTGATTAATAATTAATGTTTATAGGCGTTTTGGCCTGCTTGGATGGCTACATGAACATCGCACTGGACCAGACCGAGGAGTACGTCAACGGGCAGCTGAAGAACAAATACGGCGACGCCTTCATCCGCGGCAACAATGTGCTCTACATATCCACACAGAAGCGTCGCGTGTAAAACTAATTAACTTAGATTTATTACATAAATACAACAATCACATCTCGTTTGTCAAAGCTCAGCTCAGCTCGTGCCGTATTCCCTGGGTATGGCGCCAAAGTGGCGCAGCTGGCGCAGCGAGTAGCCGGAGCCGAGCGCCGCGATCAGCCGCTCGCCGCGTCGTCCGAATTTGCGCTCGTACGTGGGGCGCCAGGCGCGTCCGAAGTGCGGATCGAAGGGTATTTCGCTGGGCTGCTGGAAGGGTGAATTGCCCAGAAAGAGGCGCTCAATATAGTCCAGGACGGCCTTCTTCTTCTGGAAGTGCACCAGCAGCGGATGCGCCTCCGGCGAGTCCAGATTCTTGAAGTACTCGAAATTGACCAGATCCACGTTCGAGAAGTCGAAGGTGGCCTGCACCATGCCCAGCTGCAGCACGCACTGTATCCAAAGACAAGGCCAATGTTAATGTGGTGCTTGGTGTGGACGCAGTGCGTCGAGCTAATTGCCACTTACCATTAGGGCGACTGCAATTAAGACGTATTTGCACATGACACTCGCTTCGATTTAGCTAATTGATGTTCCGCCTGGGAGCTGGAGCAGCTTACGCTTTCCCGCACGGCATTCAACTGAATTTGAATTAATTCGGCCACGGCTCTGCGTTGTCCACGTTGTGTGTGGATTGTCAGCGCGATTTGCAATATAATTTCCACTCTTGTCTTTTGTCGTAATCAATGCCATATTACCCAATCCCAATCCGCCTGTACCGCCCGCCCAGCCAAAATGTAAAAAGACAATACGGCCCACCACCTCGGCTAATTAATTGATATGCATGGCGCATGAGCTAAGGGCCTCGCCCCCCGCCCCTCGACGCCAAGCGACGCTTGTGATAACCAGTCCAAGCGTAAAGAGCTGCTGCCGGCCGCCCAAATCAGTCTTCTTTCAGCTAAAAAAAAGTAGCTGAATTTAAATATTTTAAATATCTAAAACTAGCTTAATTATCCTAGGTACAAATTTGGAATAAATAGCTAAATGCGTTAAGCCTTTTAACTGGTTCCGGCTGACAACAGCTCGAAAACAGCTAAATTGACAGCACACAACAAAGTCAGTGCTGCCAATTGCAGCTAAAAAATGAGTAGCTGAATACAGCTAAAACAAGCTAAATTAACGTGCTGCGATAAGTAGCTAAATCGGCTAAACTCTTAAACCGGTTCCGGCTGAAGATATCTCAGAACCAGTTCAAAAGCAGCTAAATTGGCAGCACTGCACAAAATACATTTGTTTCGCCTCACACGCTACAAAGCCAGTTTTCCCAACTGAATACAATATTTGAAATAGCTAAAACAAGCTGAAGTAGCTTGGGTACAAATTCATAACTAAATACGTTAAACTCTTAAACTGGTTCCGGCTGACGGCCTCTCAAAAACAGCTAAATTGGCAGCACTGCACAAAACACTGCATTTGAAAAAAGCGTTCAATTTGAATTTATTTTCGAATATCGTTGTTCTACGCGCTCTCAATAAACGATTGCAAAAAAATAAAACATATTTAGATGAATACAATGCAGAGTTAACTTGTTGAATTTACGTGTAATGGTAGCGTATTGTTGTGTGCTTGTTGCCTGACTATTTTATTATTTATAAAATCACATTCCTATTATTTATAAATATATATATAATGCGTATTATTGCTCGTGATAATTTGCAAATTGAAATTTCGCGCTTTTCAACTTAAATTTTTGTTTTCAGTTAATCATAAAGAATATTCAAAATTACAACAAAAGAGCTGACTTGGGTTAATCGGGCAATTAAAACAATGTGTGTGTGGGTGTGTGTGGGGAGGAGGGGGAGATTTCATAGCGTGTTTTTAGTTGGCCCAAGACAACAATTGCTGCATAACTGGATCATCTGCAATGTACAACAACAAACAGGTTAAACAGTTTACAGGGTATTTACGGAGCCCGCACACTCACCATCATCCTCTGGCTTGGTGGCCGACGCAACGGTTGCCTTTTTCTTTTCCTTGGCCTTCTCGGGCAAATCTTCGGTTGGCGCTTCTGGCAACGTGGGCGTTGGCTCTGGTATGCCAATAATTTCCTTATCAAAGTTCTCCTGCTCCAGTTCATCGAGTTCCCGCTCGAGATCCTCATCATCGAGATCGGCGCCAAAGGCGACCGGATTCGAAATGGCATCAGAAATTTCGCGCGCCACATCCTGTTGCTCGGCAATGTCATCCATCATATCGTGCACCTTGTCCACATCCCTGCAAATCAAACAAAGAGACAGCAAGTCAGGCATACCCGTTTTGGGAAATGCGATACGATATACTCACATGTTCTGGTGCGCGGATTTGAGCGCATCCGCGGCGTTCTTCATGGTGGTCAATACGGCAGTATTCGTGTTGGCGCTCTCCAGAGCCTCGCGCTGCATCTCGATCGTGGAGAGGGTGCCATCGATTTGTTGCAGCTGCTTCTCCAATCGCTTCTTCTTTTTGAGCGCCTGCAGAGCCACTGCAAAAACGTTGCCGAAGACATAAAATAATTAAATACAAATAAACGGAGCGAGACAACTAAAATAAACAAACGAATGAATCCAAAGATGCGATGACAAATTTTGTTACGAGACTTTCTTGCCCAATACGAGAATACGAATCTATGAGTTTTGCAATTGAGTAAATGTTTATATTACGTTCTTATGGTTAGCATAATTATGCGTATATGTCGGGGGTGCGTCCATGGCAGCCAGCGGATGTTTGTATGTAGGAGCGCATAAAGAAAGGCGAAGAAATATATAGAATACTTTTTACTTTAAATTCTAGCACTGGCGTGGCAATGGAATTGTTATATACATATGTTTATTTAAATGCAACAACAACAAAAACAAAAACAAAAGGCAACCGAAAATGAGTCATAAGTTTAATCTCTGATTTGTGGCAGTGTAGGAAATCCCTGATGTTTAGTTAGTATCGAGCACTTACCTCTTTTGTTTTTGGATGCATTTTTTCGTGCTGTATTTAACTCTTCCTCGATTTTGGACTCGAGAAATTCCTGTTTTTTGATCAACATGTTCTCGGTCTCGCGCAGCTTCTGTATCGCCTCGCCCGTCGTTGGGGCCACCTCCTTTTTGGCACCAAACATTTTCCCAAAGAAGCTCATCCTGTTTTTTGTTGTTTTTATGCTTTTTACACGCGCACACAGCACTAATTCTCTATTAAATTAAGTTTTTCCTATTGCGTTCTTCCACAGACGTCGTCTGCTGTTTTTGTCTACAGTGAAGTGTGCGTCATCGTGTTATCGAAAAAGCCTGCAGCCAATAGCACATATGATTTGAAACCGATAGGCAGCATGCAGCCCTGCTGTTAAGCCATTTTATTCGCCAACCCTGGAGCCAATTGCAGAACAGGGCTGTCCGCTGTAATGCATTAAAAACAAAACACATTACGAATTATGGCAAATCGCACAGTTAAAGAGGCGAAAAACGTGCACGGCACCAATCCGCAGTATCTCATCGAGAAGATCATACGTTCACGCATCTATGATTCCAAGTACTGGAAGGAGCAATGCTTTGCACTTACCGCTGAACTGCTGGTGGACAAGGCCATGGAGCTGCGTTTCGTTGGCGGCGTCTACGGCGGCAACATCAAGCCGACCCAGTTCCTGTGCCTCACACTGAAAATGCTGCAAATCCAGCCGGAGAAGGACATTGTTGTGGAGTTCATCAAGAATGAGGAGTTCAAATATGTACGCGCTCTGGGCGCCTTCTATTTGCGCCTCACCGGCGCGGCCATCGACTGCTACAAATATCTCGAACCCCTCTACATAGACAATCGGAAGCTGCGTCGACAAAATCGCGCCGGACAGTTCGAGATCGTCTATATGGACGAGTATATAGATGAGCTGTTGCGCAATGATCGTGTGTGTGACATTATATTGCCGCGCATACAGAAGCGTTCCATACTGGAGGAGAATAATGAACTGGAGCCCAAGGTGTCGGTGCTGGACGAGGATCTGGATGACGAGGTGCCCAGCGAGGATGAGGCCAAAGACTCTGAGGACCAGGAGTCCACTCGCCAGAAGAACAGTTCGACGACTTCAGTGCGACGTCCCCGTCGGGGCCGCTCCAAATCGAAATCGCGCAGTCGAGAGCGGGACAGAGACAGGCGCGGTGCACCGAGCAGCAATGCACGCTCCAGGGACTACTACGATGAACTGGAGGAATATGACCGCCAGCGCAATCGTGTGCGCAACCGGGACACACAGAACCACAGCACCAACTACAACGACGACTACGATCGCCGGCAATCTGGACGCAATGAGAACAGGCGGGACGGAGAACGCGACAGACGAGATAGGGATCGCGAGCGGGAACGAGAACGTGAACGACATGGGGACAGAGAACGCGACCGGAATGGTGAGCGAGAACGGAACGGTGAGCGCGAAAGGAACGGTGAGCGTGAACGTGAACGGGAGCGGGAACGCAGCAGCCGCTATGAGCATCGGGATAGAGATTCACGCAATGAGCGCGAACGTAGACGCTACTAAAATTTGCGCCTAGTTTAATTATTTGCACACCTTTAAGTAAAAACGTAAAGCTCTAAAAACAAATTGTTTTTACTAAGGTTGGGAGGGTTCTGTTGAAAATGAACTAAAACTGGTTCAAAATAAAGCACGCTAAAACGCGACAAGTGGAAACGGCACATTACGCGCCAAGCAGCAGCGATTTACTCAAAATGGCATGGTAAACAAAAACAGCTGTTGCTGCGAATGCAAAGCTTTGTTTTTTAGAAAGTTTGTGAAGCGCTGAATGGGTTAATGTGCACAAGTGAACATAATATTATTAACTAGTATTGGCTGAAGTGTAAACGCAGCAGGGCACAAGCTTCGTTACGCTAAATTACTCACGCACACACCCACACACACATATAAACACTTCGAAAGCGTTAACGTCGCAAATTCTAAAGAGCGCGAACCGTGTCAGTGGCTGATTTGAGCTCGACGCGCAGAGACTGTGAGATAAACGAATTGAATTGTTTTGTTTTAATAACAACGCATCATGATTTGCTAGTTCCTTTGTCTAAACAAATCGAACATCTGTTGTATTGTTATATTGACAACAATTAAATATTTAAAAGCGCACGCTGATGCAATAATATACAATGAGCACCTCACCCCTGGTAAACGATTCCGTGGCTGACGTTGAGCATGAGGAGGCTGCGCCACGCCTACTTGATGCTGCCCGCTCGGAGGCAGACGCCGAGGCGCCAGCCCTGGCAGGACACAACGACTCGGCCCTGGCCGCCAAATGGTTCATACTGGAGCCTGCCGTGTTTCTCATATTCATGGGCCGCAGCTTGATCGGTGCGTAAACTAAATGACAATACCCATTAGTTCGTTATACTGATAGCTCACTGTATGTGTTTTAGGGGCGGTCCTACAGAATCAAATTCTGTACCAAACCTGTGTGACGATCATGCACTACAATGAAACCGACTGCGAGCCGCTGCTGGGCAACGATCGCGGTTCGGAAGCTACAAAAGTAAGTTTAATTAAACACCATAAATTATCTTATATAGTATACGATATACGATACGATATAAGCCCATGTTTACTAAAGCATGGCATCGTAATTATATTTCGTGCACTCGGAACGAAATGTGAGAAAAATCCTATACATATTATATATATTCTTGATCAGTTAGCTTATCTTCCTTGAGGCAGTCAAATATGTGGCAATTCGTCAATTAAAGGAGTCTTACTGTACGAATGGGTTAAACTTCCGGCGATCCGATAATAATATATATTCTCTTCTTCTTATCTCAAAGGGCGTTAGTTATGCGAATTTATTATTCATTCAGATACCCAGATACTCCAATTTATTCATGCGGGCGATTAGCCATACAAAGTGTTTCATTGCCTCCACAAAGCATCATCAAGAAATCAAATCAAAGCAACTATTCGACGATCTATTGTTTGCGTCGAGAGATAAGGCTCGGACACATCTGTAGACATATTGGAATCTGGCACAAAGCTATTGTCCCAGTTTTAAACGGGTGGGGGGAGGTGTGCGGGGCTAATGACGGGCAAGTAAACATTTAAGAATGCATGACTAATTGTTGGGCTTATCGGGAAAATTATCGATCAAGGGATATTTCGGCGTAGCTGTGCCTAATGGAACGCAATGAATCATTTAAGTTGCATGTCAAAACAGTTGTTCCTATAATTGTTATTCACGAATTGTTTACGCTTGCAGAGGCTAGAAATTAAAGTTCAGGGCTATTCGGCGGACATAACAATGGCCATATCGCTCCTGGAGAGCATAATACCCGCCTTCGTCAGCCTCTTTATTGGACCCTGGTCGGATAAATTTGGACGACGTCCCATATTGCTGACAGTCTTCACAGGTTGCCGTTGACAATAAACATGGCAAATCCGTGCATTTTCAATTAATGTTTACTTAAA